TGCTTTCTTAATAGCATATTTTCAAGTTCTATTTGTTTGTAGCCATCGTTGGTTAATTTTAATTTCTATATAATATAGTATGAATATACAGTTGTTTCATTTTTTCTTCTTTTTTTATTCATCTTCTCTTTTTGTTTTTCATTTGGAACTGGGAATTGAACCCAGAGGTGCTTAATCACTGAGCCACATCCCTGTCCCTTTTTACTTTTTAAATTTTGAGATAGGGTCTCACTTAGTTGAGTAGGGCCTAGCTAAGTTGCTGAGGCTGGTTTTGAACTTGCTGAACTTGCCTCAGCCTCCGAAGTTGCTGGGATTACAGGTATGTGCCACCATGCCTGGCTTTTTTTCTCCTATAAATGGAAGTTTGGGTTGTTTGTAGGCTTTTGTTAATCTCAACAGTGATGGTGTGATAATTCCTATACACGCATCCTGTTGTATATGGTAGGAATTTCCCTTGTGGAATTCTAGATTTCAGGGTGTGTATGTGCATGTGCACTAAATTAGACCCCAGCCCTTGGTAATGTTTGTGCTGATTAGTGTTTTCAGTGGCTTCCTATAATCATTTAGGGAGTCATAATTTCTTCTCTCATTCATAGAGCACTATGTGCTAGTTGCTGCATAGGTGCTGGGACTATATAATGAATAAGACATAAACTTGCTGTCTAAACTGAAGTTCAGATTATCCTTAACATAATAGACCCTTAATAATCTAGTAAATTTTTAGCTTCCAGCCTCAACCTACGTTCCTTGTTTCATTTCTTTCTACTTCCTGCAACTCAATCCAAACATAATGAAATAGTTATAATTTCTTTTTCTTTTCTTTTTGGTGCTGGGGGTTGAACTCAGGACCTTGTGCATGCAAGACAAGCCCTACCAACTGAGCTATATCCCCAGCCTGAAATAATTATAATTTCTGAAAGTACAGTGCTCTTTTGTGGGTTTGTGTCCTTGCAAATGCTCTTAGCTATTTCTTCACATCACCATCTTCACTATGACCTACAGTCTTAGATAATATATCACTCATTTTAGGAAGTCATTTTGATCTCCCCAATGTGACTTGATTTTCCTCTTCTGTATTTCCATAGAACTTTATTTCTATCTGTGCGTATTATTACATAATTTTCTTTATTAGAAAGTTTTTATTAGGAGTAAACACTGTGTGTTTCGTACCTGCATTATCAGTATTTAGTGTAATATTTGAAGTGTAGCTGTGTAGTAACTGCTGAATGAATGAATGAATGAATGGAGAGGAAAGGGAAAATCAAAGAGATTTTCTAGGAATAAATGATAACATTTGATGATAGTCTTAATAGTGAATGGAGGAGGCTAAAAAATCAGATGTATCTACAAAGTTCCTCCTTGGGAGACTAGAAAGCCTTTAATATATGTTGGAGGTGGGGGTACAAGTTGAGGTAGGCTATGAATAAGACACTATAGCTCTCTGCTGTTTTTTAATCAATCAGAGAAATCTGTTTTTTAAATATTTTTCAGGTGCAGAACTTGGCAGTGAGGAATCAACAGGCCTCAGCTCAAGGACCCCAAATGCAAGGTTCCACTCAGAAGGCCATACCTCCTGGAGCCTCCCCTGTCTCTAGCCTTTCTCAGGCCTCTAGCCAGGCCCTAGCTGTGGCACAGCCTTCTCCAGGGGCCTCAGGCCAATCTCTCAACCTCAGTCAAGCTGGTGGAGGCAGTGGAAACAGCCTCTCAGGGCCAATGGGTCCAGGTGGAGGTGGCCAAGCTCCAGGGGGTTTGGGTCAGTTGCCTTCTTCAGGAATGGGTGGTGGAAGCTGTCCCAGGAAGGGCACAGGAGTGGTTCAGCCCTTGCCTGCTGCCCAGACGGTGACTGTGAGCCAGGGCAGCCAGACAGAGGCAGAAAGTGCAGCAGCCAAGAAAGCAGATGCTGATGGGAGTGGTCAACAGAATGTGGGCATGAACTTGACACGGACAGCTACACCTGCACCCAGCCAGACCCTCATTAGCTCAGGTATGTTATCACCTCACATAATATCATAAATCTCTCAGAACTTATTTGAAATCTTTCAAATTACCTTTCTTTGCCCCGTTTTTCGCTTGGCCCTGGAGTAGTGGAAGGAAAGAGAATTATATCAGCCTTGAGTGTATTAGTTCAGGGACAGGAAAATAGATAAAGGTCTTATCTATATCTTCCAGGCAACAATCAGGTTTTAAGTTACTCTTCTTTACTTTCATAGGCTCCTGAGTTCTGTAGTTTACTCATTCTACTTATTCATGAACCCAGTTCTTACTGAATTGCCTACTGTATCCTGGGAGGTGCTGATACATCTTTCTAAAGCAGATTCTGTGTCCTCATGTTACTTACAGTTTAGTATAGGATATTAATTCTGTTTAATGGTAGTTAGTTGGTCCAATGTAGGACAAATATAATATAAATACTTTAGCCAGGCATGGTTGGCTCATGCCCGTAATCCCAGTGACTCTGGAGCTGAAGCAGAAGGATCACAAGTTCAAGGCTAGCCTCAGGAACTCAACAAGGATCTAAGCATCTTAGTGAGACCCTTACTCAAAATAAAAAATAAAAAGGGCTACCCCTGGGTTAAATACCCAGTACCAAAAAAAAAAAAAACCCAAAAACAAAATAATATAAATGTTTTAGAACACTTAAGATTATCAAATAGAACCACGATTTAATATAGTCAAATTGTGATCATCTGTATCAGTGATGAGGATAAAAAGGAATACATAATAATAATAGCTATAAGTAGTTTCATACTTCCTTTCAGATAAGATATAGTGGATAAAATATAGTTAGATGTATCTTCCTTGGTAATGTTAATTTTTTTCTGCTTTCTTTGTTTCTAATACCTTAGTCATTGGTATGTTTGAATAATTTGGTCACAAAAATTTAATGAGTTAATTAGACATTACTAATAACTAGGTATTTAAATACTGTAGCATTTGTGGGTTTTTTGAGGCACTGAGGATAGAACTTGGGATGCTCTACCACTGAGCTACATCCCCAACCCTTTTTATTTTTTATTTTTGAGACAGAGTCTTGCAAAACTGTCCAGTCTGGCCTTGAACTTGTGATCCTTCAGCCTCAGCCTCCCAAGTAACTGGTATTATAGGTGTACCCGACAGAATACTATAGCACTTATATTTCCACAGTGCTCTCATTACATGTTTTATACATACTTTATGTGTTCTCTGGACAGTCTGGTAAAATATGGAAGGTTGGAGATTGTAAAAGTCTGAGCCTGCAGCTACTGACTCCTCAGAGTAACCTAACCTGATGAATTTTTGAAAACTGAGACATTGATGAAAAGATATTGATGTCTCTAACTTTGTTGGTATTTATTCTTTCAGTGAATATTTTTTGTGTGTCAGCACTGGACTCTGTTTAGGGGTGTGAAAGTGAATAAAACATAGAATCAGCCTTTGCAAAACTCAAAGTCTAATCACATGGAGAAAGAGCCAACCTCTGTACTCCTGAATACAGAGTAAAAGGATAAGTTTGTTTGAAATTACTGAGTTAGGATGTTGATTGAGCCAGGGAGTTTTTCTATGTACACTAGAGGTGGTTAGTAATGTTTTGACTTAGAGGAAAGAATATGAATGAAGTGATGTCCAAGTTCTGTACAGGCTAGATTTCTATTCAGTGTAGTTTGAAACTAGGTAAGCCTTGGAAAATGATTTTACTTTTAATTTTGAAGGGTTATTATTTTCTGTTCTTTTTTCCCCTTTGTTCTATTCTGGGTTTGTTCCTATAGCCACGTACACGCAGATCCAGCCCCATTCTCTGATTCAGCAGCAGCAGCAGATCCACCTCCAGCAGAAGCAGGTAGTGATCCAACAGCAGATTGCCATTCATCACCAGCAACAGTTCCAACACCGTCAGTCCCAGCTACTTCACACAGCTACACACCTCCAGTTGGCTCAGCAGCAGCAGCAACAGCAACAACAACAGCAGCAGCAGCAGCAGCAGCAGCAGCAGCAACAGCAGCAGCAGCAGCAAGCCACAACCCTCACTGCCCCTCAGCCACCACAGGTCCCACCTACTCAGCAGGTCCCACCGTCCCAGTCCCAGCAGCAAGCTCAAACCCTTGTAGTTCAGCCCATGCTTCAGTCTTCACCCCTGTCCCTTCCACCTGACCCAACCTCCAAGCCACCCATTCCCATCCAGTCCAAACCACCTGTAGCACCTATTAAACCTCCTCAGTTAAGTGCTGCTAAGATGGCAGCTACCCAGCAACCACCACCCCACATCCCCGTGCAAGTTGTGGGTACCCGGCAACCAGGTACAGCCCAGGCACAGGCTTTGGGGTTGGCACAGCTGGCAGCTGCTGTACCTACTTCCCGGGGGCTGCCAGGTACAGTGCAGCCTGGCCAGGCCCATTTGGCCTCCTCACCACCTTCATCCCAGGCTCCTGGTGCACTGCAGGAGTGTTCTCCTACGTTGGCCCCTGGGATGACCCTTGCTTCTGTGCAGGGGACAGCACATGTGGTTAAGGGTGGGGCTACTAGCTCTTCACCTGTTGTAGCCCAGGTTCCTGCTGCCTTCTACATGCAGTCTGTGCATCTACCGGTGAGTGATGTCTGATGCTGCTACCCATGAGAGTGGACCTGTATTGAATGGAACTAGAACTCAAATTGAGTAGGGGAATGAAGTGTTGAGAAGTTTGGTACTGGTGTTTATGTGCTCTTTTTATAAGAGTCATAGATTTAATATGTATAACATCTGAACTTTGTACTTGTAAATCATTCTGAGGTTTGGGATATATACTAAGTTAGATTGAAGTAGCCTAACTAATCTAGCTATCCCACTGCTTGATATTTTTCTAAAAGATCTAAAATTGGTATACTGTAGCAATATAGTCTCTTCACTGTTTATAACAGCACAATTCACAATAGCTAGATTATGGAATCTACAACCCAAGTGCTTGACAGTAGATGAGTGGATTAAAAAAATTATAGTGTGTGTGTGTATATATGTATTTATGTGAATGCTCGAGCACACAATGTAGTTATACTTAGCCATAAAAAAAATAAAATAGTGGCATTTGCCAGTAAATGTATAGAAATGGAGAACATCATGCCAAATGAAATAAGACAAATTCAGAAACTCAACTTGAATGTTTTTTCTCATGTGGAGGCAAGAGTAAAATAAAGGAAAGTGAGAGGGAAGGATAGGATATCATAAAGATAAAGGGAAGATAAAGTAATGTGGAAAAATAAGTTTGAGAGACAGTGTGGAGGAGTAGATGAGAGGAGGCAATGCAGAATGAATTCTTAAGAATCATGTATTAATATTCCACAGGGATATATAAATATTCCATAGGGAATTCCACTTTTATATATAAGAAAAGGAACCAATCAAATATGAATAAATAGATGAGCAAAGGAAGTCTAGTAGAAGAAGGAGAAAGCAGAGGGGAGAGAAGATGGGAAGAAAAGGAAAGGATCATGAACTAAAATCAAAATTCTATGTATGTATGAGTTTGTTGGGATCAACTACTGTGTGTAACTATAAAGCTCTAATTTAAAAAAATGAATAAAAAATTGTATATATCTAAAGGAACGATAACAGCAGAGAGCCTTAACCAAAACAATCTTTGGAAAACAGTTTTTGTTTGGGCCACAGTGGTCTAAGTTATGACTATGCATTAAAATGGTATTGCATTTTGTTTTGTCCTTATGTAGACGTCATACTGATTAGGGATGACCAAGAATTTAGTGTATATGAAGCAGGAGATAGGGAGTTCAGAAAGTCTTCTCTGAAAGTATAGAAGTAATTGTAATTCCTTTTCATTCTTTATGCCTAAATTTTTTTTTTTTTTTCCCCTATTCTTTACTGTACAGAGTAAACCTCAGACACTGGCTGTGAAACGCAAAGCTGAGTCTGAGGAAGAGAGAGATGATATCTCGACTTTGGGTTCAATACTTCCCCCCAAGGCTTCTCCAGCAGCAGAGAGCCCAAAAGTCATGGAGGAGAAGAGTAGTCTTGGAGGTAACTGGTTTCTAAAATGCTATTATTGGAACACACAAAGAATAGAAAATTATTCTGAAAGAGCTACAGATAATTCTGGTTCAGTAGAAAATGGGCCTAAATATTTGGTAGATCCAGAAATATAATCAGAGGGGCTGGGATGTGGCTCAAGCAGTAGTGCGCTCGCCTGGCATGTGTGGGGCCGGGGTTCGATCCTCAGCATCATATACAAACAAAGATGTGTGTCCGCCAAAAACTAAAAAATAAATATAATCAGAGGGTGAATGATCAAAGGAGAACATAGTTTACTGTGGAAAATCAGACTGGCTCAGCTAATAGGTGGATTCATTATATTATCCCATATCTGTTCTTTAACGTGTGTTTGTTTTCCAGAGAAAGCTGAACCTGTGGCCAGTGTGAATGCTAGTACCCCAAGCAATGAACTGGTAGCCTTGACTCCTGCCCCATCAGCACCACCTCCTACGCTAGCCATGGTGTCCAGACAAATGGGAGACTCCAAACCCCCACAGGCCATTGTGAAGCCCCAGATTCTCACCCACATCATTGAAGGCTTTGTTATCCAGGAAGGAGCGGAACCTTTCCCGGTGAGAACAGGGCCATATGGTGGGACTTCAGGAGGGCATTTGGTCTGATTTTGTTTTCAAATTCCTCTAAAAACAAAAGCAGCTGGGCACCAAGCCTGTAATCCTAGTTACTTGGGAAGCCAAGGCAGTAGGATTGTGGGTTCAAGGTCAACTTCAGCAGCTTAGTGAGGCCCTAAGCAACTTAGTTCAACGCTGTCTCAAAATTAAAAATAAAAAGGGCTGGGGATGTGGCTCGGTAGTAAAGCACTCTGGGTTCAATCCCAAATACCAAGAAAATAAAAAAAGGTACAGAACTTATTAATTGTTAATTTATCAATTATTAGAGAATGATTTATTTATTTTGTTTATTTAGTTGCAAAAGAAGGAAAGGAAGAAAGGAAAGCACATATGTTTGTGGACCAGACAGTAAAAATGTTGGGAAGAGAAGAAAAGGAAGAAAATCACCTTTTAAAACTTTTTAGATAGGTAAACTAGGTGTTTTTATAATGAAGAAAATTATAGTAGAGAACTTTTCTAGAATATGAGTTACAGAACCAGGATTATAACTCAAGTATCCTGATTTTTCTTGTGTCCCCTGTACTTAGGAAGGGAAGGATAAAATAGAGGGAACCAGGCCAGGAACCTGTTCTCTAGTAGCTTATCTGAAAAAAGTAGAAGTTTCTTGATTGCAGTATTGTAAGGAATTTTCTCTGAGCCAGACTTGACCATTAACTCAGAGATGCAGGCAAGGACATGATGACAGGAAGTGTTAGGGAACACTGTAGAGAGGCAGAAAGGAATTAGGCTACCTTAATTAAAATTTTTTTCTGGGACAGGTGGGTTGTTCTCAGTTATTGAAGGAGTCTGAGAAGCCACTACAGACTGGCCTTCAAACCGGACTGAATGAGAGTCAGTCAAGTGGACCCTTGGGAGGGGACAGCCCTTCTGCTGGTAAGTATTATTTAGACACCCACCTGGGAGAAAGAGGCTCATGGGAATGTTTGAGGACTCAGTGTAAAATAGTAATTTTCTGTTTATTTAAAGTAGGAATTAGATGAAGTCCATCTATACACAGAAACCATATTGTATATCAGAGTATATAGAATCACACAAAAGGAGTTATAGGGTGAGGAGTGTTTTATCAAGCTAAAGTAACTTGTTGAATTATCATTTACTGTATAAGGATATATTTTCCAAAAGATGATATAGGCTGGGGCTGGAATTCTATGGTACAATGTTGACCTAGCTGGGTTTGATTTTCAGCACTACAAAGAAAAAGAAGAGGGACATTTAAATTATTTTAAAAATACATTTAATAGGTACATTGTTATTACTCATAATAGTGGGATTTGTTATATATGTGTATGTGCATACAGTATAACAATAAAATTTGGTCAGTTTTATTCCCTTTACCTCCTCTTTCCTTCCCCTCCTCCCTCTCCCTGTTCCCTTTTCTCTACTAGTCTCTCTTCTATTTTATTGAGGTACCTCCCCCTGTCCTTTTTTCCTTTTTCTCCTTGGCTTCCACATAGGACATTTAAATTCACAACTTCCTGCTCTCCTTATTTTAGATTTTAATAATCTATAGTGAGGACTTTTATTTAAAATTTCCTCCATGCTTTTGGAAATCTTTGTGGGAGTGGGATTGGATATCTACCTAGGCATTAATAATTAGTTCCTTTTTCCTATTAAGAAATGGAGTCATATTGAAATCTGAGTTGAATTAGGATAAAATTAGTAAGACATTTAAAATGGAAATAATCAGGCTTAAAATGGAAATAATAAGGCTTTAAGGGCTGGTGGATACTGCAGTGCACACCTGTAATTCCAGCTACCTGGGAGGCTGAGGCAGAAGGATCACAAGTTCAAGGCCATATTGGGCAATTTAGTGAAACCCTGTCTTAAAATAAAAAACAAAAGGGACTGGGGATGTAGTGAAGTCTAGTATAACTATGAGCTCAATACCCAGTCTGGAAAACAAAAAAGGAAGACTTTGAGGACTTTATAATCTTCTTGAAGGGTAATTCATCATGGTGTTAGGTTTTAGGAATTCTCAGTTTGGTTGTGTAGGTCTTTGGAAAAATTAGAATCCAACTCTTGGTGTAATATGATTTAGGGGCAACAGAAGCCCATCGTAACTCTCCTTGTTTTTCAGAGTTAGATAAGAAGGCGAATCTCCTGAAGTGCGAGTACTGTGGGAAGTATGCCCCTGCAGAGCAATTTCGTGGCTCTAAGAGGTTTTGCTCCATGACTTGTGCAAAGAGGTACTGTGTGCATTGCCTGCCTTGCCTTGAGCACTAGTTTCTCCATCAAATGTTACCTTGCTTCCCCAGGGTCATCTCACAACGAACACACACTTTATGTCTCTTTTGTTTTCATTTCTTTGTCCAAATCAGCTCTTAAAGTACCAATTCCTGTGTGTGGTGCAGGGTAGCAAATAGTCTCTTCTAGTGCCTTGACATCCTGTTTATGCCCTGATTTGTAGGTACAATGTGAGCTGTAGCCATCAGTTCCGGTTGAAGAGGAAAAAAATGAAAGAGTTTCAGGAAGCCAACTATGCTCGTGTTCGTAGGCGTGGACCCCGCCGCAGCTCCTCTGACATTGCCCGTGCCAAGATCCAGGGCAAGCGTCACCGGGTGAGCTATTGTTACTGAGCCATTATTTCTAAAATAGGCCTTTTTCTTTCCCTTGCAAGACAATCCTTTGCCCAGGTGAAAGGATACAAGACCAGAACTTTGGTTTCCTATTGATTGTGTTACTTCATATTCTGAGATCCTGAGTGCCTTTATCTCCTTTTTCCTCACTGCTGGTACATATATCTATTAATCCTTACACTGTACTTAAGTGAAGACAATCTAGATCTCTTTTAATACAAGAAGAGAATCAAGGAAGTTCATACTTGAAAGGCACTTGAGAGTAGACTTTGGGCATTTGCAAATATTGTGCAGATTATTTCACATACGTTAAAACTAGTTTTTCCTCTATGCCTAAGCTAGGGTGGTGGTAGAGGGAAGAGAAGCACTCATGACACTGTTATTCCTGACCTTACTGTTTTGCCATATTTTCTATAGGGTCAAGAGGACTCTAGCCGGGGTTCAGATAACTCTAGTTATGATGAAGCGCTCTCTCCAACATCTCCTGGGCCATTGTCAGTAAGAGCTGGACATGGAGATCGTGACCTTGGGAACACCATTACAGCTCCCCCCACACCAGAATTACATGGCATCAACCCTGTGTTCCTGTCCAGCAATCCTAGTCGTTGGAGTGTAGAGGAGGTGTATGAGTTTATCGCTTCTCTCCAAGGTACAGAGGGGTCTCCAACAGAACCAAAGTCTTCATTTTTCTTGGATCATTCTACATGGGCCTTTGTATGAGGGAACATTACTAACCTGTAAGCAGCATGGGCTTGAATGTGATTGTACTCTGCCTTGATAGTTATTCAAGTTGCTTGCCCAGTTTGGTTTCTTAATTTCCTTCTGGGTTGATATTGTCTTCTACTGTGTGAGCAATTTTGCAATTTGGTTTTTTTTATGATTCAGCTTTATTTCTCACCAATAATTTTTGGATAAAAATTATTTTGATGTGATTAACTACTCTTCTCACCATACATAAGGTTTCCCCCTTTTTTAGTACTGGGGATTGAACCCAGGGGTGCTGTACCACTGAGCCATATCCCCAGCTCTTTTCATTTTTAATTTTGGGACAGGGTTTCACTAAGTTGTTTAGAACTTGTGATCCTCCTGCCTCAGCCTCCCAGGAAGCTGGGATTATAGGCATGCACCACCATGCCTGGCTAAGACTTTTTTCATTGAAGAAGGACGGGGTTAGAAACTAAAGGACCAGTGTTGGCCTATTTTTATTCAAGATAGGACTGTTCTCCATTAAAAAAAAAAAAAATCCTGTCCTCATTATTAATTTAATCTTTTTGCCAACATACAAGAAAACATGCATATATTATTGCTCTTCCTCTATGGTTTTATTTTTAAAATATTTTGAGCAATGGGGACACTTCATTTATTCAACACATTTGGATTTTACAAAGGATTTTCATTGACATTTCATTTACTCTCAGAACATTGCATAGTGTAGAACATTTATCACATTTCACAAGTCAGGAATTGCTGCTCACCTTTGGCAATATTTCCTTGATTAGGGTACTCTCCTTTGATTATTACCTCTCACAAAAGGCTCTTTCTTCTGTTATTTTCCTTAAGGATAGCTAGTTTGGGGCCTCTCCTCTTATATACTCTCATAGATGACATCATCTATTTTCATGATTTAAATTGTCATATATAATTGACATATATAATTGACATATGTAGAGCTCAGATCCTTCCATGAGCACCTGATCTTCAAATACACAACTACCTATATGAACTCTCACTTTACATCAAACACGTCTAAAACTTTTTCTCCACACTTGGGTGTTCCTCCTATATACCCTATCTTGTCAAACTGTACTACCAGTTGGTCCAATGATGACAAACAGTGCCCTCTGCAGTTTTCCTCTAGCTGATTTCAAATAAAATCTTTTTGTATAAAGTAAATGTCTCAATTGATAACCAGCAGCTGCCAAGCCATCTAGAAATAAATGAGCAGGGGCTATGCCTTCCTTCTTGTTTGAAGTAAGTTCTTTTTTGGGAGCAGGGTGGGATACTAGGGACTCAACCCAGGGGCTTTAACACTGAGCTACATCCCCAGCCCTTCCATTTTTTGAGACAGGGTCTCGCTAAGTTGCTTAGTTTCTCATTAAGTTTCTAAGACTGGTTTTGAACCCATGATCCTCCTACCTTAACCTCTGAGTCGATGGGATTACAGGCATGTGCCACCATGCCCAACATGAAGTTACTTCTATGGCTGAACAACTTAGGTCATTATTCCTTTCTTGATGTTGTTTTATTCTTTTTTTCATTTTTGAGACAGGGTCTTTTCAAGTTGCTGAGGCTGACTTTGAATTTTTAATCTTCTTGCCTCAGCCTCCTCAGTTGCTGGGATTATAGGTGTGTTCCACATCTGGCTTGTTTTTCATTTTTAAGATAACCAGTGTCTCTAATTTCATTTTTGCTTTCAAAGCTTACCATCTCATACCTTTATATTACTGAATTTAGGGCAAGGTCTTTGGGATTGTTTCGTCTCCTCTCTTGTCCTACCATGCAGTTTCTAATACATGGTCTCACCATTGCCTTCTAGGCTGCCAAGAAATTGCAGAAGAGTTTCGTTCCCAGGAGATTGATGGACAGGCTCTTTTATTACTTAAAGAAGAACATCTTATGAGTGCCATGAACATCAAATTGGGCCCTGCCCTCAAGATCTGCGCCAAGATAAATGTCCTGAAGGAGACCTAAGGCGGCCCTCTTGCACAAACCAGCCGAAGGCAGACACTCCCCACTGTCCAGGTTATAACCTGGTACCAGCAGACTTTGCAGGGAAGAAAGAGCTATTTGAATTATGTGACCTTCTATAGGGAGATTACTGAGACAGGGAAGAGAAGTGCAAGAATTGGTTGCTGGTGCTACATAGTGGCAGCTTTGATATTTTCTTTGGGTTTCACTTTAAAATAATCTTTACAGTTCTCATCAATCCCACCTACCCCAATCCAGTCTTTGAAACAAAAGCAGTCCAGAGAACTAGGACTGCTCAGCCTTATCCTGGAGTGGAGCGTCTAGCCAGGGTTTTCCAAGAGGAGAAATATGTGTATGGTAAGGCAGGGAAATGGGTGGAATGTAGTTTTGCTTCTCCAGTGGGAGAGAGAGGGTTTTTCTAGCTTGTGTGACACAAGTAGCAAAATTCTGGTACTTTCCCTCTTCCTTCTGGATTGTCCCACTGTAGCTGTGGCTCAGTATTTTGTTATCACTTATTCCCTTAGTATTGAATATTTCTCCTGCATCCGTGGCAGGGTCACCAGCCAGGGTAGAAACTTGGTTGGAATCTTTCTGATTTGCTGCAGGGACTAAAAGTGTTTGACTGGCACATGGTGTGGCTGTTGTCATTTTTTCCACATCCCCCTGCTCCCTTCCCATTTACCTGTTAACCTTTTACTCTTTCAATTCCAACTTTCTTTCCTATAGCTTTATAAAACAGGAGTGTGTGGGGCTGAGGTCAGGATTATAAGTACCTACCTTAGGCGCTATTCCTTATACAACAAAATATTAAATATTTTTTTTTCTTCCTCAGTAAAGGATGAAAATTGGTCTCAGTGGTCTCTTACTCCATTCCAGCAGCTCTACCCTCCTGTTTTACACAAATGACTAGGCCAGCATGTTTTGTTTGTTTTTTAATCATTAAGTGTTTTTGTACAAAAGTGGTGTATTATTTTTCATTTAAAACACCAGGGTATGGGGGAAGGATGCAAACAAATAATGACAAAGGAGATGCTTTTTTAACATTATTTTCCCTGTTTAGAAAGAAGAAAAACAAAAACATTCCAATAGTATTAAAGTCCAAAGATGAAATAGTTTCATTTTCTTCTCTAAAGGTTTATAAAAGGCCCCCTGCCTATTGATTCTACCCCTCTTTCGTGTCCAGTGGAGCCATGTTACTCTTAGTGGCCCAGGGGTTCACTAAATATCAGCCTGGGATTCTGGGCACATGGCCTAAATAGAAAGATAGAAGCATGAGAGGATTAAAAACCTTTCCCCACAGAAATGTGGGCAAGAAGACACTTCCCTGAGCCAGCAGAAGGGACAGGTGCAGCAGCATTCCACACCCAGAGCAGAGGACCTTAGAACCCTCAATGTTCCACTTCTGCTTCCATTCCCTTTCCAGAAGATTTTTTTTTGGGGGGGGGGAGGCGGGGGGGGGTGGTATTCAAAACCAATATGCCTGTGAAAAAAAAGTGCAACATATGTTTACAATACTGGTAGAGGGAAACAAGAACAGCTTTTCCAGCTTTTACTATAACAGAAAAAAGCTGTCATGGAGATCCAAGCAATAAGGTAAACATATTTGCTGATTCAACTCGTCTTTCCAATGGACTAGATTGCTGGATTAGGCATTTTGGCCACACATGGATTGATAACCACAAGACCACAATCCAAGCCCAGCCCAATTCCAGCTACATCATTCCCAATGACAATGGTGTGATGGTACCTTATAATCCTGTAATTAGGAAATTTCACATTTTCCTGTCTAATCCCAGATGTGGGAGATCAAATCTAGAACATTTGGCTTAGACCAAATGGGAATACTTGGATTGCAACCAAGTAATCACTACAAAGCAGATCCAAGCAGCAAGAAATATCATCCAGATTCTCATGGAGACTATCGTAGGATAGAGTTATAGCATGAAAGCAATCAAACCTGTATAAATAATGCTTCTTTGCTTTTTCTTTAATTAAAGAAATCCAGTGTCAAAAATTTGTGAAAATGCATTAAAAAAGAAAGGTCCAGTGACCCTTTTGCCCACTTTAACTGTCCTACCTGTACACTCTGATAGCAAGAGAGTGTAGCACCTCTGTTTTCACAGGTCTCATCTCTTAAAATTAACACCTCTCTAAAAGAAAAACAAGATAGGGAACAAAGGGAAGGAAGTTCTAGTGAGAAGAGGATGCAAATCAACATCAAACTGGAAAGCAGGAATGATATAAGAGCAAGAATGGAGTAGAGACTGCTTGAGAAATCTGGCTGAGTATGCTTTGGTTTGGGGGACTAAAGAGGCTGGACATTTAAAGTGCAATCACATTGGTAATAAATGATCATCCCTTTCTTCTGACTCCTCTCCCAGCTGGTCATCCCCCACACCACGATATGCAGCAGGCACATTGCGGGGTTTAGAACGACACACAAAGTCACAACCATCCTGTAGGAAAAGCAAATGAAATGAGAGTTTGGAATACCCGACTTAGAAAGACAAAGTTCATATTTATGGTCTAAGAATGTGTGACAAAACTGGTTTTTGCCAGGGGTAATGACAAACTCAAAATATCCAAGGATTAGCCTAATTTCAATTTAGGAAAACAAATGTATCTTCTTATTAGGCCACAGCTTCTCTGCTCCATCAATCCCTAATCTGCCCCAGTAGCAATCTGGGAGATCATCAAATTGACAGTATTGACCTTCCAGCCACATCTTAGCAAGGCCAGAAACTTATGCTATGCCACTTACTAGTTTGTACTAGGATAGCCAACTATTTTGACTTGAAGGGACTTTTGTAGTATTAGCACTCATGTCCTGTATCCCAGGAAACTCTCAGCAAACCAGGATAACTGGTTACCAACCTTCTATGAAGGCTATAGACCCAGCCAGTTGCCTTGTTACTTACTGCTACCAGGTTGCCAAGATCTTGCCAGAAGGCTAAGTGGGGAAACTGCTCCATTCCCTTGGCTCCCACCACTAGTCGCTGGTATAAGAAACCTCCAATGACATAGACAGCAACCAGTGATGCAAATCTGTAGAAAAGACGTGTACTTAAAGACCAAAACTGAACATGGTGGTATGAGTCTGTACTTCCAACTTGGGAAGCCAATACGAATCATTATTTTAATGCCAATTTGGGCCAAATCAAAAAAATGCTCAAAACGACAGAGAAAAAGCTAAAACTCAATAGATACTATTAACAGTTTCCTAAGCTACATTTGTGGAAAAGGGATGGCGGGGAGAGGGCAGGGGGTGGAAGGGAAGCTTCTTTAGAAAACCA